TTTCCAAATCTATTAGTAAACAACTAGAATTTTTAGCTTTAAATATTGAAGTAGCAAAGGGGCAACAGGTCATGGTGGTGGGCTGCTACAGACTCCCCTCAGCTGTCAAGGACTCTTTATCTTCTTTGGCAAAACTTGTATCTCAACTAGACTACAAGGAAATAGTACTGCTTGGTGATTTTAACTGGGACTGGTTAACTGCAGTGTCAGAGGATTTTAGAAACCTTTGTATCTCTTTGAATGTTACTCAGATTGTTGACAGTCCTACTCACCCTAACATTAAGTCCCCAAATAAATCCTCCCTAATTGATCTCATTTTAACTAATGTTCCCCATAAATACTCATCTGTGGGAGTATTTGCGAATGATCTGAGTGATCACTGTGTTGTAGCCACAATTAGGGACACTAAGGTCCTAAAAGTTAAACCTCGCATTATCAGTAAGAGAGACAAAAAATATTTTGTGGAGCAGGGTTTTGTGCATGATCTGTTTGATTTTGATTGGGGTAAAATCGATCTGTGTCCTGATGTAGAAACTGCATGGTCTTATTTTTATCTTGGTTTTATGGAAATTATAGATAGACATGCACCCCTGCGTACTTTTTAGAGTGAAGGGACGAGACAATCCTTGGTTTTCTGCTGAGCTGTCTAGTCTCCTATATGAGAGAAACAAGGCCTGGGCAAAGGCTAGGAAATCAGGCTCAGAGGTAGAATGGCTGCGTTTTAGGCAGCTAAGAAATAGCTTCACATCGCAAATCAAAAGTGCTAAATCAAAGTACTATCTGTCAGTTACCACAAAGAATCTGAATAATCCTGGAAAATTTTGGAAAGCCATAAAATCGATATCCACCGGTGATATCCGTAATGAGCTACCTCCGTGCCTTACCACAGCATCTGGCACTATATCGGACAGGGCCACTATGTTAAACTGTTTTAATGAGCATTTTGTGTCTTGTGGCTCTCTGTTTGATTCTGTCACTAACTCTGCTTCTGTGAACACCACAGTCTGTAACTCTGAAAAAGGTGTTTTGGAAAACCCTTTTAGTTTTACTCCTTTTACTGTTGATGTTGTTCGTGAAGTTTTAACCAAGTTAGATCCTAAGAAACCGGCTGGCCCGGACAATTTAGAACCTTTCTTTTTAAAGATAGCTGCTGATTTTATTGCTCCACCGCTCACTACTCTTTTTAACCTCTCCCTCAGCACTAACACAATTCCAAAATTGTGGAAGTCAGCGTATGTCCTGCCTCTACTAAAAGGTGGGGAGGCCACTTTATTAAATAATTATAGGCCCATCTCAAAATTATCAGTTCTGGCTAAGGTGCTCGAACGCCTAGTGAGTGAGCAGGTAAAGGAGTTTTTATGTACAAATGACATCCTGTCTAAACATCAGTCAGGCTTCAGAAAGCAACACAGCACCATCACTGCCACAATGAAAGTGGTGAATGATGTGGCGAGTATTTTAGACAATAAGCAGAGCTGTGCATCTCTATTTATTGACCTGTCCAAAGCGTTTGATACCGTCGATCATCGCATTTTAAAGCAGAGGCTAGCCAGTATAGGCATGTCCAGCCATGCAGTGGGGTGGTTTGAAAACTACCTCTCTGAAAGGTCCCAATGTGTTCACTTTGATGGGCTGTCTTCTGAGTGGTTAAATATTGCTAATGGTGTTCCTCAAGGTTCTGTTTTAGGTCCACTTTTATTCTCCATATATATCAACAGTTTAGGTGAAAATGTGGATGAAGCTACTTTTCATTTTTATGCGGATGATACCGTGATGTACTGTGCAGGTCCCTCCATTAAGGAGGCTGGTGTTAAATTACAGACTGTTTTTAACATTATTCAGACTCAGCTCTCTGAATTAAAGCTTCTTTTAAATATTGAGAAAACCAAGGTAATGCTCTTTTCTAAAGCTAAAAAGACACCAGAGCATGTTTTAGATATTGTAACTACACAAGGAACAAAACTTGAAGTTGTTGCCTGTTACAAATACCTTGGTATCTGGCTTGATGATTGTTTCACTTTTAAACTTCATGTCAATAACCTGCTTAAAAAGCTGAGGGTTAGACTAGGTTTCTTTTACAGAAATAAGTCCTGTTTCTCGCTTGAGGCCAGGAAAAGGCTAGTCACTGTGACCTTTTTACCTGTGCTGGACTATGGTGATTTGATGTATATGAATGCACCTGCCAATTGCCTGATCAAGTTAGATGCTGCGTATCACAGCGCGCTAAGATTTGTGACAAACTGTAAAGCATTAACGCATCACTGTACCCTGTATGAAAGGGCTGGTTTGCTTTCACTAACTGTATGGAGACTCAGTCACTGGTACATTTTTATTTACAAAGCCATGTTAGGGAAACTTCCATCCTATATCTGCTCCCTGATCTCACGGCAAATTGTAAGTGGCTACTGCCTGAGATCGCATGCTGTAGTTTTATTAAATGTGCCAACTGCTAGGACTGTCTTAGTGAAGACAGCTTTTAGATGTGCAGCTCCACTGTCTTGGAATAGTCTGCAACTGAAATGGAAACTGAGCAATCTGGTTCCACTAAATGTTTTTAAAGCTCGGTTGGATGCTACTCAATCGGAAGCTGTTGGTACCTGTACATGTGGATAGTTATGTAAATTGTAATCCCTGTGATGATGATGTAAGATGTCCTTTTGTTGTTCTGTTAATGTTTTTATTAGGGCCGGGACTTTAACGCGTTAATTAAGATTAATTAATTACACAAAAATTAACGCGTTAAAAAAATTAACGCATTTTAATCGCACTTATTTTTGCACCGCGGAACGTTTCTCACTGGATGAGTTTCAGGCGTATCGATTATACTGGAGCACCAACTAACGTTCATGACTTCGGACAACAACAAACCACAGTGAACAACAGTGGGAAATGTTGTTTTAAAAAACGGACGGATGGAAGCGTCGATAAGAGCACGGTTGTGTGCAAATTATGCAAAAAGGAATTAGCATATCACCGCTGCACATCAATTCTCAAGTATCACCTCAATGCAAAACATATAGCAGCTAGCGTGGAAGCTAGCGTGGACGTTAGCCTCTTTTATCGCGTTCACACCAAAAAGAGCCGGTACTAAAATTAGTTCATGAGAACCTTTTTACCCCCACGAAAGTCCCTGCTAGAGAGCAGAGAGCTGCTAGAGAGCAGGGACTTTCGTACGGCTCCCTTGTGAGAAAATAGCTATATTTCTGATTGGCTGGGCGGATTGCAAACCACGCCCCGTAAAACTCCCAAAAAGTTTTGTGAATTTTATTATCCTCGCATTAGCATTATTAGCATTAGCCCAGCGCAGAAACGCAGAGAGACTAATTTATGGCAACACAAAATAAAACATGGGAGCGGTGGAGATGAGGAGGTGTCGGCGTTCTGGCGATTTACTCGGAAGGCTGCTGGGACTCCCAGCAGCTTCTACTGAAGCAGAAGAAGAAGAAGTGACGTCAGCGGCTTCATTTGCCTAATCCACCCCCAGGTTCAAAGAGTTCTCATGAACTAAATTCTCATGAACCTTTGTGGGAAAAGTACTGCGGTGTGAATGCGCCTAATGGTATACTAAAATCCATGCGAAAAAAATTGCTTCTCACTGTTCTCAGGTCAAATATTTATATGTGATTAAAAATGCGATTAATTTCGATTAATTAATTACAAAGCCTCTAATTAATTTTTTTAATCGAGTCCCGGCCCTAGTTTTTATGTTTCATGTGGAACCTACTTGAGCAGGTCTCCCTTGTAAAATAGTTCAATGATCTCAATGGGATTTATCTGGATAAATAAAGGTTTAAAAAAAAAATATATATCTCACCCCGTGGGGTCAAAATGATCACAAGAACGGTGAGCAAAAATCCCAGAACCACACGGGGGGACCTAGTCAATAACCTGCAGAGAGCTGGGACCAAAGTAACAAAGGCTACCATCAGTAACACACTACGCCGCCAGGGACTCAAATCCTGCAGTGCCAGACGTGTCCCCCTGCTTAAGCCAGTACATGTCCAGGCCCGTCTGAAGTTTGCTAGAGAGCATTTAGATGATCCAGAAGAGGATTGGGAGAATGTCATATGGTCAGATGAAACCAAAATAGAACTTTTTGGTAAAAACTCAACTAGACGTGTTTGGAGGAGAAAGAATGCTGAGTTGCATCCAAAGAACACCATACACACTAAAAAATGCTGGGTTAAAAACAACCCAATTTGGGTCGTTTTTTAACCCAACGCCAGGATCAATATTGGACCAACCCAGCAGTAGTTAATTTGACCCAACGAAATGGGTTGCGTATTTTAACCCAGCAGATGGGTTATACATTTAATCCAAATGCTGGGTCAAATTAATTACAGCCCTGGGTTAATTCTACCATGAATTGGGTTAAATATTACACCCAAATGCTGGGTCATAATAGCTGCGATGGGTTAATTCTACAAGTTATTATCGTCATGTTTTTAATGCAATACCCATGTCTCTTAAACATTTAAATTACAAACCCTTTTAAAATGCATCCTATATTTGGTCATGCAAATAATATAATATGCAATAAACGTTTTTAAACAATGTTGGAATCTTAGAAAAATATTCATTTTATTGTTATAACAATTGACAGTTCAATAAAGTGCAAACATATTCAGTTCACAATAAAGTGCAAAACTTTCTTTAAACAAAACGTAACATTTATGCATGTACAGTACAGCCTGTAAACAACACACATTAGCAGATCTACAAGCTCTGGTTTGAGAACCACTAATAGCAACATACGTTTTTTCAGAAATGACTGGTTCATATACTGGCTATGTAAACGTTACAAAGAAAATCCTCCAACATGATCACAACAATGTACTGCTCCTTTAGGTGATCCGAACTACAGGAAACTAAGATGTGCAAATAAACATTTTAACAATTTATGCTTCCACCATTTAGCTCTTTTTTTAGCACACAACTTGCTCATAAAATACTTTGAGCATTAGGTAGTATTTTGAACATAACATACATACAAATCCAGCAATATTTAATTTAACCAGATAGAACCCTACTCTGAGCCAAGCAGCAGAAGAGAGAGAATAGAACAGGAGGACCAGCAGAAGAAAATAAAAGGATCAAGACCACAAGTCTACTTGCAAGCAAGTATTGCTGCACGCAAGGACGTAGCAGGTTTTGACTCCTCTCCTCCCTTGATTTCGTACACTGCATTTTGGAGGAATTTCCATACAGCTTCACACTGCTTTGTGTAGTCGATGTCAAAGATATAGAATACCTTGAAACAGACATCTACTGCCTGAAGCAATGTGTTTTGTTCCAACGCCTCCCCATCAAGAATAACGAACGCCTGAGAGGTGTGCCAAATATCGTTTCCCAGGGACAGGACATATGGGTAAGGTCTTGACACCTTCGCCTCATGGAGGTACTCCACCAAGTTTGTTCCAACCTGAGAAAGAAATAAAGAACAAAAGACAAGATAAATTAAACAAAGTAAAAGATTGTGCAAAAGCAAAGAGTAAGCAAGATTTGGCAGTGGCTGATACAATGCATATTCAGAAACAATGTTTTGAATTATTCTTGAGCCCAGGAATAACAGGCAGTCAGGCACATTCTTAACCACTTAAACTGGACCTGGGTTGGCTCTGTACTTTAGACCACTGTTTTCCATCTTCACCAAATCTCTTCGCCAAAAATAGCCGATCTAGCTGCCATGTTTGGCTAATGTCCCCGCCACCCCCCCAAGAATATGGATGCTGGGTTCAAGTGATTAAAAGAATAACATTTCCCTTTAGATATGCAGAGGGACTTACAGGCTTATGATCAATGAAGGCCAACTTAGACTCCTCGATAGTGTACCGGAACACTTTTCGGCCAACCCTGTAGACAGTTGGTGGAAGCAGTGTTGGTAACTGGCTCAGAGCAAGTTCCCCCAAACAATCTGTAGGAAGACAATTTTATAGGTATCAATATGTGGCATGGCATATCTGTGAATTGGTCATTTAGTAGCAAAATAAAGTCTGCTGTACAATATAACAATGTATTACCGGGTGTTAATCCATCAAGCGACGAGATAAGTTTCCCTTCCCGTCTCGCCAGGTGCAGGATCTTGTCTTTAAACAAAGGTAGCCAGGTTTCGAAGAGCTTAGGCGCAGCCTCTCCATGTAGGATCTGAAAGTCCTGTGCAATCTAAATGAAAAATTGAAAAAGAAAATTCAATGTGGCAGCTGACATACTGATAAAAGATTGTTATAAACAATGCATCCACATCATATGTAAACATATACTCCTTCCTAACTTACCATGCCTGGAGTGAATAGATGTGGGAACTCTTGGCGGATCCCTTGAATGTCCCACCCGTTTTCCCTTAAAGACTTGGCCCTGTTTGATAGTTTGCAGAAAGTACAGCAGTACAAGAATGTTAAAAGGATATCACAAAAAGCCCTGAGGGCAGTTGCAGACAGGTGCTCTTTTATGGCAGTTTTGGAGGGTAAGGAGTTGCACTTTCTTGATGGCTGGTGGTAGGGTGTTCCACATTTTGGTAGCATAATAGTAAAATGCATTCATCCCCATGTTTGTGCCGATTATGGGGGGGGGGGGGAGAGAGTAATGGAGCTCCCACTGGTGTTGTGCCCTTTTATTTTGACAGGTACATGGCACTGGTCCCTTGAAAACCAGGCCCATTGCAAGTTGCTGTACTCTGTCCTCCCCTGAGCCATCCCACTATAGCATCATAATGAGCAGGGGTTAGGTCATAGGTGTGAGAGGTCTAGTAGTAGTTTGTTTTGAGAAGTCTGTAGTTCAGATTTGAATGACTTGAGGTGCTACAGTACCATGAGGTGCATGCATAGGCAAAATGACATTGAATGAGTGCTGCAGCTAGTGTCCTCAGTGCATTCCTACTGACCTGTACACTGCTGTATCCTGCATGTATTGCTCCACCTGGTTGAGGGGCTGCGAATTGTGTTTCAGCCATTCTTTACACTGTATGGCTCTTTCTTCCGATATGGTACATTCTATAAAAGTACACATAAGGATATTAACAATCTCAAATTATATGTCTGTATTGCTTAAACAAATTATTCAGTTCCAACGATTACCTGGTATGAATGTCCTACGAGTGCCAGCTTCACTACTTTGTGGTGGTGTCTGCTGCGTGCTCTGTGACCTGGCCGGTTTTCTCATCCTCTTTCTGACGTTCCGAAGCCTCTCTTCGAGGAATCCAGTGGCTGGGCGGCGGTTCCGTCCTGGGGTGAACCAGTATCCCTGTCAAGAAATGAAAGTCTTTGGTGAATAGAGATGAGGCACATTTTGATAGCGTGGCGACAACATGTGGCTGAGCCATCTAGAACAGGGTTTGTCTGTATGTCTGTCTGACAACACCGGGCATCAAACAGCACAGAAGTCCAGTACTCTGGTGCTGGGAGATGAGTTATATTGTGTTCAACTGACTGTTTTAGCATCAATTCCTCAATAAAATGTTAATTACTTACGAAGCCACTGCTTGAGTCCGACTCGTCCTTCAAGGAGGGAAACCCATGAATCAAAGCTGCAGCCAAGGCCTTTTTTGTCTCACTGGTAGGACTGCAAACACAGAAAAACTAAATTACCAGCAGAGTCAAATTAGATCTTAAGTATTTCTAAAACATGTGTTGCACCCCAGTATAATGGCTGTAGCATATTCTGCAGCTAATAGGCATCCTAATAAATTAAAAACACTACTGAACGTGTGTTTTGGTACATGTGTTGTGCATGTTTATGTTGGTGGTCTAGGTAAAGGTCAGACTTGAAAGTAGTGTCCCGTCTTATTCTTTTCCCCTGAAAGAAGATTCATATACCTTTTTCAAACTAACATAACATTCACTAAAAACAAGAAAAAAAACCCACTATTTTTAATTACCTCTCTCCAAACTTCTCCATGAGGTGAGACACCAAAATACGGACAAGGCACTTTCTTTGCGAAGGGATGATCACATCCTCATCAAGGCTCCCCAGGATCAGCTTGCCTTCAGTTGAGCCTGTGAGAATCTGGCGGATATCCTGAGAAAATTGCAAGAAGGGACAACATCACAGATATCGTTTATTACTCTTTAGTGTTGATTAAAGAAAAAAGTGAAACCCAAGTCTTAAAAAGTGGAGCTTACAAATTGTGGAATTATATGTAGTGTTTGAGGTATCATCGCTGGTACGACAGGTGCCGTTTGGTCCTCCATGGAGGGTGGAGTTGTGGCAGTTGGTTGGACATCAGGACTTGTAGGTGGCACAGCAGGTTCAATCTAAACAGAATCCAGGTTAATGTAACAAACAGTGACAGCCACCTAGAATTGCCGGATGAGCATCAGTAATGTAAATCAGTGTACCACACCAGCGGACTCAGAAGACTGAACACAGTATGCATGGTGTGAGAGATATGCACCACGCCAAAGTTTTCACCCGAGTGAATGAAAAATGCGACAAGTTTGGACCATGCAGATCTGCGGCAAATTGAAAAAGATATAAAACAAACATGTAACTTCTTAACTGACAGTGACTACTACTGTACATCGTCACCGTCGGGTGGAAACCGTGTATGTCCAAAATTGTTCCTTTTATAATTTTTAACATTTAAAAATTGTGAAATAGCCAATCGACAAGCTCTTGACATTGGGAGCTTGTAGATCTATTTGAACTACTTTTGTACAACACTATGACGAATTAGTACATTTACAAATATAAAAAACATAGTTTAAATATGGAGACACAAGGTTTCTGCCCAACAGCAACGATATGTAGACAGATTAAACAAAAAATACTTACTGTACAATTTATCACATCCATCCCAGTATTTACAGAAACATCCCAGTACTCCATCGCATGATCATCCCTGTAGTCCAAAGGCACCTTTTAAGCAGCATTTATAGCTAACCACTAAACAAATATGGCAGGAAAAAATGGACTTGACGAGTCAAAATGCTATTTACAAAGTGTCATACCTACTGTACACACACCTGGTGGCAGTAAGCTGATTTTCTAAAAAAGTCTATAGCGCAGTGAAATGTATAAACTGTCATCAGTCTCGCTGAATGACTTCACTGCATGTAGGGGATGGTGATCAAGCAGCTCTCTCACATCAACAGCTGCCAAAACTTGAGTGGGAATCACACTGTATGCAAAGAAATGCCTATCAAACCATTGTGTTTCCCACTTCTGTACAAGTTTTATTGTTGGTGTGTGTGATGTTTGGTCTAGTACTAAAATTGACTTTATGAGACCAAATTGGGGCTCCCCATCTGGGTCATAAGACAGGAATACAGTCATGCCTGCTCGATATGCAGTTCCCTTAAAGGTAACCAAGGCTGGTTCATACAATTCACTGAAAAGGGGAATGCCTGTTAGACCACTTTCGATGTCTTTAACTCCCTCAATGTTGGCCAGAAAGGTAGTGTGCCCTGGACCAACTTCTGTATTGTGGCTCAACACAGTTCCACACAGCAAATTATAGCACTGCGCTATCTGATGGCGAAAGGCCATGGTTTTGCAAATGTTTCGGAAGTTGCATGTTACATGGCTAACCCGTTTAAAAAAGTTGTGTTTCGCTTCGAATCTCATAGCCCAAAACTGAGTCAAGGGTCCGAGCTTTTGAATGGCTCTTGGGTAATGGAGCATGAAGTGGTGTTTTGGCAGCAAATGGTGAAGAGGATAGAGCTGCAGGAAGAGAGAGTGATGCTCTTCAAGGATTTTAGCTAAGTACAGTGTTGCTTCAACAGTAAGAGAAGGAGAGAAGATGAACTCCATACATAACAGTAACAGTAGGAGAAGTTTCCATTCCTTGCTATGCATGGGGACCAGGTCACCTATCATTGTCGGCAGCAACCTAAGTAGGCACCACATTTGAGCTGCTGATTGATGCATGGCGCCTTTAACCTTTTTTAGATCATCCTTACTAATTACAGAAGGTTTAGACCTCAGATGAGCTAAAAAAAGGGCTACCCGGTTGGTCATGTCATCTTGCCCTAGTTCATCCCATTCATCCTCAACTTCCTCATCTCCCTGTACAGGCTCATTTTCAGCACATGGACTAGCAGTTGATGACATTTATTAACAGCTTCACAGTTAGATGACAATGTGTTCTGCTTACCTCCTCCAACTTTCGCCAACGGTCTTTATTGTCTCAATGATCCTCTCTCGCGATGATGATGGTTAAGTTTACGGTTATGCCCAAATATCGCGAGTGCACACAGGATGCAGGGGAAACCCTTTCCCGCCAGATCGCGGTCAAAATCAAACCATGGCAGAGTTCTCTTAATACATCCATGGAAGTGTCCAAGAGCAGTCAATAATGTAGCATGCCTTATTGTTCAAGCCATGTTTGTTGTTTCACATCTTTACAACCGTGAACATTTAAAAGTAGATTGATTTTTGTCTCTGTTTACATTAGTTGGTATCATAGACTGTGGTTGGTATCCAGTTTATTGGTGGTTATACCGCCACCTTCTGCTCTGGAGTGGGAATCAGATATACCCTAATCCCTTTGTCTCAGTTTATCTCAACATGAATGAATCTAATACATGTGAAATGGTTGCGATTCATGCAAACCAATACCCAATACCATAGGCGGCGCCGGCGCGTGAGGCTCAGGTTTGGAAAGGCTTAATCACTTTTTTTACCTGACGCTGCCCGCCTCCGGCATCTATAGAAAAGAGATCAACTCAGTGTGCAGAGTTTAAATCTCTCAAGTCATATTACAGGATAAAGGAAATACAGTTTAAACTGCCGTATGCAGAGAAGACGCCGACGTGTCGCACTTATCATTCATATTACATCATCAATCAGATCATCGATCATATAATATTATAATATATCATATATTTCCTTATCTGAGTCAGCTTCTCCAGCCATATCTGGCCGTGCAACACTTACAGTGTCACATACTGTATGCAGAAGTATTATTTTAAGCAATACATTATGTTCACGAAACACTCGAGTCAAATGTAATTAAAGTCAGATCTGGTGAGAGAAACCCTGGCTTGATTTACCGAGTTGATAACCAGCGTCGTAGGACCGCTTAGCGAGATCTCGTTTGTTTGTTTGTTACTCAAACATATCCAGGGTATGTTGAACTGGCTTCGTAGTACAGGGCTAGCGGGTGGCTAGCAGCGCTAATGTCAAAGACACAGACATTATACATTAGCCTATATTTGTATTTTACCAGGATGCAGTGACACAAATATTTGGGAAGGCTTAGCCTTCCCTAGCCGCTACAGCACCCGCCGCCCCTGCCCTATACCATATAAATAACCCAGAATGAGTTAAACATTTCATAACCAAATGGATGGGTAGACAAAAATATTTTGACCCAGTACTTGGGTTGCACAAAAATAACCCAATACCATATTAATAACCCAGAATGGGTTAAACATTTCATAACCCCATGGTTGGGTAGATGAAATAACCCACTGTTTTTTAGAGTGTACCTACTGTGAAACATGGGGGTGGAAACATCATCATTTGGGGCTGTTTTTCTGCAAAGGGACCAGGACGACTGATCCGTGTAAAGGAAATAATGAATGGGGCCATGTATCGTGTAGGGTTAGGGTTAGGGTAATGTTGTGAATCGAGTGGCCTGTGTTCGTCGTCCATAACATATGCCTGCCCATACCATAACCCCACCACCACCATGGGCCACTCGATTCACAACATTACCCTAACCCTAACCCTCACACCAGATACTGACTGGTTTTCGGACCCCCCAGACCCCCCCAATAAAGCAAAAATGCACGTTTCAGAGTTGCCTTTTATTGTGGCCAGCCTAAGGCACACCTGTGCAATAATCATGCTCACTATCACAGATTTTTTCAGATTTGTGAACAATATTTGAGATAAATGGTTATTTTGTCATCTCATGAAAAATGGGAGCAAAAACAAAAGTGTTGCGTTTATATTTTTGTTCAGTGTAGCTCCCTCCAGTAAATGACACGAGGCAGAGGTCTTGATTAAATACGGGGTGTATTCTTGTGGGACCTATTCCAACCCGTGAGAACTGGGTTGTAAGACAACAAATATATAAAAGGTAAACAATAAATAAATATGGAATATATGCATGTCATCACTGTTAATGCCGCTAAATAAAACAATAAACAGCACACATATCCCACACAGCATGTAGCACAAGCTAACAATAGCATGTAGCACAAGCTAGCGCATAGCATACATACATATAACCTGCAGCTCAACCACACACATTTAGACAAACAACCAGCACAAAAACGTACCTCGTAGGCTGCTAGTCATCTAATAATAATAATAATAATACATTTAATTTATATAGCGCTTCTCATCTGCCAAGACAAATCTGGAAGTGCTTCACAACAAAGGATACTAATACACTTTGATAGATTAAACAAATAATTGTAATAATAATAAATCAAAAAATAAAATATAAAATATAAAATAAAGTACAAAAATAAAAGTCGGTGATGGCGATAAAAATGGCAGTACTCCAGGTGTACCATGCTCAAAGTTTATTGGAAGGCCTGCCGAAAGAAGAGGGTCTTAAGGCCGGTTTTGAAGACCTCGGTGGAAGGGGCAGATCTCAGCTGATCTGGGAGGGAGTTCCAGAGGCGCGGGGCGAGTGAGCAGAAGGCTCGGTCTCCCATTGTTCGGAGACGTGTGCGGGGGATGTAAAGAAGAGGAGCGTGGCTGGAGCGGAGAGAGCGGGTAGATGTCTGGGTATGGATGAGGTCACAGAGGTATTTTGGGCTTTGTCCATTCAGGGCTTTGTACGTGAGGAGCAGAACCTTAAACTGGATCCTGTAGTAGATCGGGAGCCAGTGTAGTTTTGCCAGTATGGGGGTTATGTGTGCGGACCTTTTTGTACCGGTGAGAACTCTGGCTGTGCTGTTCTGGACAAGTTGCAAGCGGTTGATGGATTTGGCTGGGAGACCGGAGAGGAGTGCATTGCAATAGTCTAGTCTTGAGAAGACGAGTGCATGAACCAGTTTTTTTATGTCATCAGTTGAGAGTGAGGGCTTCAGTCGGGAAATGTTTTTCAGGTGAAAGAAGGAGGTCTTGGTGATATGTTTGATGTGGGCTTGGAAAGACAGAGTGGAGTCAAACCTTACACCGAGGTTGGGGACAACGGAGGAGAGAGGAATAAGCTGACCATCAAGGGAGGGGCTGATGTTGGCGGCCTTGGCAAGCTGGTCGGTGGTGCCTATCAGGATTGCCTCCGTCTTGCTGCTGTTGAGCTGAAGGTAGTTGGTGGTCATCCAGGAGCGGATGTCTTCCAGGCAGGTGTTTAGTGTTTGGATAGTGGTGGTATTGGGTTGTGTTTTGATGTAGACCTGAGTGTCGTCGGCATAGCAGTGGAAGTTGATGTTATGTTGTCTGATGATATGACCCAGAGGTAATAGATAGATTAAAAACAGGATCGGCCCCAGCACTGAGCCCTGTGGGACCCCGCATGTCACTGCGGTGTCGTCAGACCTGGAACCCCCCAGAGACACGTGGTACTTCCAGTTGGTGAGGTAGCTTGAGAACCACTTCAGAGCCGTGTCCGTCACCCTGGTGTAGGTCTCGAGGCGGTGGAGGAGGATGGTATGGTCCACTGTGTCGAAAGCCGCACTCAGGTCAAGAAGGACCAGGATGCTGGGTGACCCAGAGTCGGCTGCCATCAGTAGGTCGTTGGCTACTTTTATTAGGGCTGTTTCTGTACTGTGTGCAGGGCGGAAACCTGATTGAAAGGTCTCATACATGTCATTGTCAGACAGATGAGACTGGAGCTGTGCGGCCACAACCTTCTCAAGTACTTTGGCAAGGAACGGGAGGTTGGAGATAGGTCTGTAGTTGGAGAGGAGTTCTCGGTCGATATTTGTTTTTTTAAAA